CGAATGTCATATATCTTGAATCCCCGGTCGGAACCGGTTATAGTTATAAAGACGATAAGAAGTACCACAACACAGATGTGTCGACAGCAGAGGACAATCATTTAGTTATGGAAGCATTTTTCGAGAAGTACCCAAATCTGAAGAAAAACCCATTTTATATAACGGGTGAAAGTTATGCCGGAATTTATATTCCAATGTTAGCCCAACAGATATTCGTCAAGAATTCCACAATTAATTTGAAAGGTATTATATAAACGTTAACAATAATAGTTTGTTTATAAAATTAATTTATGAATAATCAATTTTGTATTAAAGGTGTTGCCATTGGAAATGGATATCTGGATTTGGGTACATTAGGCGGTCAACACAGCATTGACATGGAATTGGGTCACGGATTCGTTACAACAGATTCTTATGAGAAGAAGATTGAGAATTGCTGTGAATGTAAGACCGGAGAAGTGCAACACGGATGCGATTTCTCTAAACCAGTCAATGCTACGTAAGTCTGTATATTTAAAAGTAATGTATAATATTATGTAAAAGTTATAAGTTATATCTTATATATTGTAACATGTTATATATAGTATCTTACAGTAATCAAATAATTTTGGCTATTAACAAGATTGTTTAATTAATGTATTTAATGTACATTAATGTAATTAATGATTATTTTGATTTATAATAATTTACTAGTTCTTAGAATTAATTAGTATTTTATGTACAGTAAATGTAGCAAGGTAGAAATAGAGGAGTCCGGCGGTGACAATCCATACAACATGTACGACGATTGTGGTGCGAGCGTTGCATACGCTAAGCTGTATAACAAATATTACGCCAAAGCGTCCAACAGATCACCAATGAGTCTGACCTCTAATGACAACTACGACTGTCCGCACAACGGATACACCGATTGGTTGAATTTACCGGAAGTACGGACAGCACTACACGTGCGAAGTGATGACAAACATGTGTGGGATGACTGCGGCGGTCCTTATTCTGACTTCGGTCGCGACCAACACTCGACTGTCACTGAATTGTTAGATAAATATAAAATCGGAAAACTAGTCATATTTAATGGAAACTTCGACACTGTCTGCGATCACATCGCTAATCACCGGTTCGTCGACAGTCTGAACCTTAAGAAAGAGGGTTATTTCACGTAAGGAAATCACAATTTATTATCTAACTTTAAGATAATATTAATAAATATTTAAATATTACAGTTCGTGGAAAGATACGGAGGGAAGGATCGGCGGGTTTGTGCAGCACTACGAGAAAAACCTGAGTTTCGTGTTAGTCCGCGGGGCCGGACATATGGTCCCTCACGACAAACCAGAGGCTGCCCTACAGTTACTCAAGAATGTGGTCGGAATCACACAGTTTTAAGTGTAAATAATAATATAGTATATTTGTAAAAATGAATATAATAATATTTGCTTAAAACTACTGTATGTAAACATTGTAATTTAATATTCAATAAAAAAGTAAATTTTATTATCTTTCAAATTATTATCGATTTAATTAAAAAACAATTTTGTAAAGTTTGTGGCCTTCAGTTGTTTAAACACATAAGAAATGTTTGGCCGACACTTAAGTGATGAGAGTTTTGCTGAGTTTTGATATGATTGTCAACGAGTGTATGATATGAGGATTTGTTGAATAGATTTCCACGAATAAAAGGACTAAATGATCGATATATTGTCATAGAGTATAGTCCCCCACAGACAATCAGGTATCATAATATAATAGTACACGATGTACACAACTTATCATCGCTCAAAATTAGGTTTCACCTTATTTTAGAAATGTTTGTAATTCATGTGAATAACTTATATCTGAATTTTCAGTTTCAGTTTAAGTGAATTTGGAATCAAAAGATATTAGGATTAAAAATACACAAAATGGCATTGAATTGACTCTTATATATAAGACAAGAATAATCATTATTTTAATAATCTGTAATATTTTAATCATGAATTCAATTACAAATTATTTCATTTTCGTGGCATTTATACTAAACGTATGCTTAGTATTAGCCGCCAATGAAGATGAGATAAAGAGTCTTCCGGGTCTCTCAGAACCCATTAATTTTAAGCAATATTCGGGTTATTTGGATATAACTGAAGGCAAACATTACTTCTATTGGTTTGTCGAGAGTCAAAAGGATCCCGGGAACGCACCGGTAGTTCTATGGCTGAATGGAGGGCCCGGTTGTAGTTCACTGTTTGGAAACCTGGGAGAGAACGGACCCTTTCGAGTGAATTCCGATGGGAAGACCCTGGTGTTGAACCCTCACAGTTGGAATAAAGTAGCGAATGTCATATATCTTGAATCCCCGGTCGGAACCGGTTATAGTTATAAAGACGATGAGAAGTACCACAACACAGATGTGTCGACAGCAGAGGACAACCATTTAGTTATGGAAGCATTTTTCGAGAAATACCCAAATCTGAAGAAAAACCCATTTTATATAACGGGTGAAAGTTATGCCGGAATTTATATCCCAATGTTAGCCCAACAGATATTCGCCAAGAATTCCACAATTAATTTGAAAGGTATTATATAAACGTTAACAATAATAGTTTTAAAAATTAATTTATGAATAATCAATTTTGTATTAAAGGTGTTGCCATTGGAAATGGATACCTGGATTTGGGTACATTACGCGGTCAGCACAGTGTTGATATGAAATTGGGTCACGGATTCGTTACAACAGATTCTTATGAGAAGAAGATTGAGAATTGCTGTGAATGTAAGACCGGAGAAGTACAACACGGATGCGATTTCTCTGTCAATGTTACAATGTAAGTCTGTATATTTTAAAGTAATGTATAATATTATGTTAAAGTTATAAGTTATCTTATATACAGTAATCAAATAATTTTGGCTATTAACAAAATTGTCTAATTAATGTAGTTAATGATTGTATTTAATGTAACGTATTTAATCTACATTAATGTGATTAAGGATTATTTTGATTTATAATAATTTACTAGTTCTTAGAATTAATTAATATTTTATGTATAGTAAATGTGACATGGTACAAATAGAGGAGTCCCACGGTAACAATCCATACAACATGTACGACGATTGTGGTGCGACCGTTGCATACGCTAAGCTGTATAACAAATATTACGCCAAAGCGTCCAACAGATCACCAATGAGTCTGACCTCTAATGACAACTAC